AGCACGGTTATGGCAGCGACTAGTTTCTCCAGCGTGAAGTTATACATGTAGTTTGTGGTTGTACACTTGGGCTTGAGCGCCACCACAACTTGGTTGATTTGGGAGGTATTCAATTCGTATGGCTTTGTTGTGTAAAGGGATTTCCGGAAGAGTTATNAGTTTGATTATTCGCACTCGTATTGAGATCCCGTATAGTTTGTGGTGTTATGTGAGCAGGATGGCTCTCGAGATGCAGATCATATATCGCACCTTAGTTGTGCTTGAGTTTTATAGCACGTGACGCTACCCGTCTCCCCAGGATTTGTATTATGCACTTGGCGTGCTTATGATTGATATTCGGGCACTTCGTGAGTATAAGCATTGCAGCTCGATGTGTGTTTCCTTTAGATTGTTATGTGTGGATCGGGTAGCACGTCGCCACGGATGTGTTGATTGGATCGGGTGGCACGCCGCCACGGGTATCATGATTGGATCGGGTTGTACGTCGCAACAGTGTGATGTTGAGCACAGTTCCCTATATCTATTCCTATGTGTTTTGTCCCGCATTTTCTGAAAAAGATTCATGACACCTTTTCGGTTGTTTAATTAGTCACGTGGGTTGAGCAGTTCTTTCCGGAGTTCATTTTTCCTTATGTATTGTATGCGAGTTTGTGGATTGTTGGCACATGGTGGAATCATATGAGACCTTTGGTAGTGTTTGTGGTGGCTTATTGCCGGAACGACTTGTACTGGGTGAGACGAGATTTTTGGACCTGGGATCAGTGCGATCAGATTTATATGAAGCATATTAGAGAGCAAATATCGTTATTTGGTTCATAATGAGGTAATGGTTCTTGTCAAGATAAGAAACCCAATGATTTGTTGACTCGGCAGTTGGTTATGAATTTCTGCACATCTCTTCCGTCGTGGCAGCATTTCAAGAGTTCGAACAGGACTTATACGTGTCATGAAGTGTATTGTGGGCATCAGATTCGTGAAATTTCGGCTATTGTTATCGGAGGATATTATTATGGTCATGTGAATTATGTGGTGCATGGTAAGAATTTAGTAAGGGTACACAATCGTGTTTGGTGTAGTGTGTAGTGATTGATACAATGTTCGTATGTTGGAAACAGGCCTGGTAGAGAATTTCGGATGTTGGAATTTGACTCTAAGACTTACTTGACTAAATAAAGAGGAAAATCTTCATATTGGTTCAAGCTAAAGTGCTCAACAAGGTTGTGGTAGCACGGGTAGGTGCACGAGGTGTTGACCAATGATTTCGGACAACTTCAGAGCAGCTCTTACCACGTTCGAGGACGAACGCATGTTTAAGTGAGAGAGAATGTAACGACCCGACCGATCGTTTTGGGCTCTAGCGCATCGTTCGGCGGTTTGAGGCCATAGGCAGCTTCACTTCAGGTATTATGACTTGTACGTGTGGTCGGAATTGAGTTTCGGGAAATTTCGGAGTTAATTTGGAAAGAAAATTCTAATTTCGGAAGCTTTAAGTTGGAGGAATTGACTAAGGTGTGATTTTTAAGTAAACGACCTCAGAATCAGGATTTGAAGATTCCAACAGGTTCGTATGATGATTTTGGACTCGGGCGTATGTTCGGATCGAGTTTTGGATGACTCGGAAGCGTTTCGGCGCCTATTGTGGAAAGCTGGCATTTTTGAAAAAAATTCATAAATTTGGGTTGAAATGCATTTCAATGTTATCGGTGTCCGTTTGGGATTCCGAGTCTGGGAATAGCTCCGTAAGGTGATTTTGGTATTGGGAGCGCGTCCGGATGTGAATTTGGAGGTCTGTAGGTCATTTTGGGGTCATTTGGCAAAAGTTAGAAATTTGAAGGTTTTTGAGAAGTTTGACCGGGAGTGGACTTTTTGATATCGGGATCGGATTTCGATTTCAGAAGTTGGAGTAGGTCTGTAATGTCAAATGTGACTTGTGTACAAAATTTGAGGTCAATCAGACATGATTTGATAGATTTCGGCATCGATTGTAGAAATTTAAAGTTTCAAAGTTCATTAAGTTTGAATTGGAGGGTGATTCATGTTTTTAGCGTTGGTTGATGTGATTTAAAGGCTCGACTAAGTTCGTAATGTGTTTTGGGACGTGTTGGTATATTTGATTGAGGTCCCGAGGGCCTCGGGTGGATTCCGGATGGTTAACGGATCGAGTTTGGACTTGGAAGAAATGTTGAGGCTGCTGTCTTCTGGTGTAACCGCACCTGCGAGGTTAGGGCCGCAGGTGCGGAGCCGCAGAAGCAGCCCTGAGGGTCGCAGAAGCGGAGGCTGGCCATGAGGGTCGCAGAAGCAGCCATGAGGGCCGCAGAAGCAGCCATGAGGGCCGCAGGTGAGCGAGCGCTTGGTGACCGCAGAAGCGGATGCGCTACATAGGGCGCAGATGCGGGGATTTGTTGGGCCGAGCTGGAGCCGCACCTGCGATGGAATTTCCGCAGGTGCGAAGGTCGGGCTGGGCAGATTGATTTAAGAACGGGACTTGGCTCATTTTTCCCCCATTTTTCACTTGGTTGGGGCGATTTTGGAGAGCTTCAAGGAGGGGTTTTCATCATCTATGTCAAGGTAAGTGATTCACGCATAGTATAAGTTAAATACAAGATTTATACATGGATTCAAACATGAAAATTTGTAGAAATTTAGGATTTTGAAGAAAAACCTAGAAATTGGTATTATTGGATTTTGATCACGAATTTGAGCATGAAATTGAGAATAAATTTTATATTTGAGTTCGTAGTGTTATGGGTAGTGTTTGTCTTCGAAAATTTTCGGAATCCGGGCCCGTGGGCCCGAGGGTTGCCTTATCGATTTTCGAGCGGAGTTGGAAATTATTATAAATTGATTAATTATGAGTATTAGAGTATATTTTGATTGGGTTGCGTCTTATTTGACTAGTTTTGGATCGGCGGTCACCGATTTGAGGTGTTAGGGAGGCGTTGGAGCCGGTTTTGGAACGTCGGAGTGAGGTAAGTCTCCTCTCTAACCTTGTATGAGGGAATTAACCTCATAGGTGAATCAAATCATTATGTGTTTCTATTTGTGGGAGCTACGTACGCACGAGGTGACGAGAGTCTGTGCGTAGCTACTATTATGCTTATGTGTGGGTAGTCTTGGACCCATATCATGTTGTACTTGTGATGTTTGCGCACTACTTGTTAATTTAATTGTTTAAGACATTAGAAACTCGATAAAGGAATTGTAAAAAGGTTAAACTTCATTTACTTGACCGTTTAATGAGAATTTGAAATTTTGGAATATTTGCCCCTTAATAAATCTTGAATTGGTTGTTTAATGTATTTTCTCTTTTGTGGAGCGGGCCGAACGCCTCGGTAGCAGATAGATGCATCTATTGTTCGTGCCGTTTGACCCTCGGCAGTGCACAGTTTAAATATTATGTTGGATCAGGCCGTACGACCTCGGCATGATTTGTGCATGATTGAATCGGTTGCTTTGAAATTTATGATAATTGATATTGCTTCATTGTCCTGATATACAAATTGATAAACGATGAAAAATAAATTTGGAAATTTCTTATTAACAAAAGAATTATTCACTTATTTCATAATATTGAGCTTACAGCCGTTCTACGTAATCCAAGCTTAGTTATATCATTGATATTTTATTTATTGCCCATAGTAAGTGTCGAAGTCGACCCCTCGTCACTACTTCTTCGAGGTTAGGCAGGATACTTACTGGATACGCGTTGATTTACGTACTCATGCTACCTTTGCTGCACATTCTTTTGTGCAGGTACATATATGTCTAGTGGCCTCGTGGGAGCAGAGGCGTGTAGGCATGCAGAGACTTAGGTGATCTGCATTCCATAGTACGACCCGCAGCCAACAAAGTCTCCCTCAGAGTATTTATATTTTTCCTGTCCAATTTGTATTCCGTACGGACGCTGTATATTATTTTATATTCCTAGTTGATATTCATGCACTTGTGACGCCGGATTTTGGGGCAATTATGGATTGCACTGTATTGGAATTGTTAAAAATATTATTATTTATTCTGTAAATATCATCTTTTACTATTTAATTGAAGGAAATATGATTTCAAGAAAATTAAAATGAGAACCAAATTAAGTATTTATTTTTGGCTTGCCTGACAGCGGTGTCCGGCGCCATCACGACCTTCAATGGATTTTGGGTCGTGACATATTCAGATACAGTTAGCAGGTTTCGAGTTAGCTTTGCAATTTCCTTGTGAAGGTAGAATGATCTAGAAGCATTCACTTTATCAAATCGCTCACGAAGATCTTCCCAAACCTTGTGTGCATTAGAGGCATAGATCACAGTACTCAGTAAATTAGGAGCAACACTGTTCATTATCCATGCCAAAATAATAGCATTACATCAATCCTAGAGTTCATGAAAACTTGCATCATATAGCTCCTTCCTATAGGTTCCTAGCACAAAACCTAATTTGTTTTTGCCATGCAACACAATTTTCATAGATCTACTCCAAAGAGAATAGTTTTCCGAACTTCGAAGTTAAATCAAGATAACAGCACCTTGAGTATCAGAATGATGAATATGCAAAGGATGATTGTGATGAACTAAGTCAAGATTCTGAGTATCTGATGGTGGCGATGTAGCAGTATTCGAAACAGATTCATTTTCATTAATTGCCATAGTAACTTCGTAGATTTGTAAATTGAAGAAAATTACTCACTCAAATTGTTGTAGGAATTCAGGAAAGTTGTTGAATTTGCTCAAAATCAGCAAACCCTAGCTTGAAGAAGAAGTTGTATCTTCAGCTGTAACTTGAAGCAAGTTCTAGATTCGAACAGCTCAATCGTACTTTCTCCTCAATCGTTTGCCGGAGTTGAGCCGAGCTCTGATACCATATTAAAGAGGCACAGCCATTGGAGAAGCAGAGATGGANCACACACATACACACATACATACATACATACATACATACATACATACATACATACATACATACACTAACTACTAACTCCTTAATAATAAAATAATAGTTGTTGACAGTTGTACACTAACCCACTAACTAACTTCTAACAGTCAAACTAACTCTACAATGTATATACTTCTCAACACTAACCTTGTAGGCGGTGTAACCACTTAGACATTGTACTTAACCTGCAAGATTACAAATGTTACCATTCTCAAAAAAATTAACCTCCAAATACAAATGATACCATTCTCAAAAAAAAAAAATAACTTACAAGATTACAATGATTGACATATCAAGCTTAAAATTTTAACTTATGCAGTACATTATAAATGGTCCTAGGAATGATACACCTAACTAATATACATCCACAATAACAACAGAGAACCAAGAATTCTGGGCAATCTCATTAAGAGACTGCAGCTGCTTGACGAGAATGGTGATCCCTGCACAGTTCTTCGGATTCATGATTCAAAGAGGAAACAGCATCGGATTCATGATTCAAAGAGGAAACAGCATCATAGGTGTAAAGCCGTCTTAGTTCCACAAGGATGATTACTGAAGGCTTAAGACTGGCCGGCGACGACTTCTGAACCGCTCCAGTTCCCCACTTCCACCAAATTAGCAAAACATTGATTCTGATCTATTCGTCCTCGCTAGAGCTACACTATAAGAAGCTTGTGCCTAAGGTCAAGTCATTCAAGTTTGACATTATTTGCATCCGTGTGGTTCCAATTTGCTGAGCTATCTCAAGCTGTTCCTCCAATGGGAGCATCTCATAGCTGCAAAATGAACAAAGATATATACGTTAATGATATAAATTCAGATGCAACTATACTGATCACCATTGTCAAACAGATAGAAGTAGACGGTGTATATAAAACACTAAAACATAGTTGGGATGCGTAATTGCAGACAATTCAGATGTCTGAGCTGTCTTATAAGATAATGTTATGATAGATGAAAAGGTAATATAAAACATTAAAACAGAATGATAGAAGAGAAGTGCTTCAGGACTGCCAAGCGATAGGGAGAAACCTAACAAAGTAGAAAGCAAGTTCAACAAGACAATAGTAAAACCAAAAATGTGGAAGTGAATGTTGGGCCTCTAAGGCTTAAACTTGCCCATAAGATGAAAAGTTGCTGAAATATTGATCTTAAGATAGAAATCGGTGTTGTTAAAGGCTCATTTGAGGGGCACTAAGATGCTTAAGTGAGGTGAAGCTCAGGTTGTGCCGCTGTGTGCTTTGCCTCGTTTTACGATTCTTAAGTGCTAGTATAAGGTTGTAAGGTGTGCATCTTATTGCCCGTAGGCTATTCTAAGAGGTCAATTGATTTTGTGACCCATTACAGTTTTTTTAGTTTTATGTCAAATCTCCTAATAAATCTGTTATTTTTTTACACTAAAAGATCTGAAAACTGAACACAAGCGATCTTTGCAGGGTCATTTTCTTCTATTCAGATTGTAAATGGTTATGTTGAACCTTTTCCTCGCTATCTAGAAGATGGTGGCATTAGACAATAAATATAATCAGAAAAGAAATATATTAATTGTTAAAAAAGAGGTTATGAATAATGAATTTGCTACTTATTTAGGAAGAGGAATTTGGAGATTTCCTTTCAAGAAAACTAGTAGCTTAAACTGAATAAGAAACTTAAGCTACATTTTTTTCATCTAAATCAAAATTATAAATTGGTTTTTGAACCTACATGATTTATACTTCATCTACTTCTTTAATCATATCTTTTTTCAATTACTATGTTCATAAACAATGATTTTTCTTTGATTATAGTTTCTTTTCTAGCATTACGTATATAATTTGTATTTTTCCTTCATTGCGACTTTCTTTACGCCCAAGTTTTGGTTGCGCCTGGAGTTTGAAGGCCTAGCAGACCTTGAGCACTTTTTTGTGCTTTTAGCCTTTGATAATGTGAAAAAAATAAAATAAGCATCCAATCCAAAACCTTAAAGTGCTGGGTGGAGTGCCCCAAAACATTATAAATTCTTTTGGAAAACCTTATATAAAGAAAAAGAGATAAGAGTATTAACTCACACATTCCCCGCACGAGTAACCCAGTTATAAGGTTTAAGCACAGACTTAGACTTCTCTTTTTTTTCTTTTTTTCTTTTTTTGCTTAATCTTTTTTGTCCTTTCTTTAGAAGAGTGAACATTGGACTTGAAGTGGGGAGAGGGAGAGAGAGTAGGCTCAAGAGGGAGTATGGAGTCAAGAGGGAGCGTAGGCTCAACATGCTTAAGGACTGGGCTGGGAGCAAATTTAGTCGCTCAATAGGTTGAATTTAGAGAGATATGAGAAGCCCCAAGTGATAGAATAGATAGAGAGGAATGATTGTGAAAATGGACTTACCAAAGTTTGGCACCGATACGACGTGAAAGAATCTAAGAGCCCGTTTGGACATAAGAAATTTTTCACTTTTTTTCGAAAAATTTTCACTTATTTTCGAAATCAGCGTTTGGTCATAAATTTTCCAATTTTCACTTGAAGATGCATTTTGGAATTTTTCTAAAATTTGAAAAACTCCAAAAAGCAGTTTTTCAAAATTTTCACTCAGATCACTCACAAAACTTCAAAAATAACCCAAAATTATATTCATGTCCAAACACAACTCTAATTTTCAAATACCATTTTCACTTGAAAATTTTTTTCACTTTTTTTTGGAATTTTACAATTCTTATGTCCAAACGCCCACCAAGTGTTCAACCCTAAACCTTAAGGTAATGGGTGAGCCCCTTAGGACATTAAAAATCCCTTACTTATAATTGTATGGAGGAAAATTATACACATGCAATCTCCCCAAGTCAATGCAGACTTAGCTAAGAAGAGAAAACAATAAAAGTAAAATGAATTATATAAGTTACACCAACCAGTTAGGATCAACGCTTAGTTGTTATTACACTTATATTAGATCAAGTATTTTCCAGAAGTTCTTTTAATCTAGCCAAGACTCATATGTCTTCATAGCAACAAGTGTGAGATCTAGAGTACCCCATTTGTCTTAAAGACAAACTACTGTACGCATGGAGTTCTTAAATCTAACCAGAAAGCAAGATACGTTCTTATTCATTTACCACCGAACAAAATATGGTACATATATCTCAATTGTCTAAACAGGGAAGTAAGCAACAGATCAAAACAATTCTGAGTAAACCAAAAAGAAGTGGTCAACAGCTCCAGAGGGCAGAGACTACTTACTGGGATAGCAGCTCATAGTCAACTATGTTGTCTGGACCAGGCCGATGAGCTTTTCCATTTGAACGGAACTGCCGGAATGATCTTGGATTTAGTCCAGCAACATGGGTAACAGCACTGACAAGCTTTTTCTGCAGGGACTGAAGCCTACGAAAAGTAAGTTCATCCAGAGGGGCTATACAGCCAAGGCTGCCATCTAGTGTGCCAAACACTGAAGCGAATCGATTTGTTTTATCAGACCCTGGAGTGGTAGCAGTTCGGTCAGATATAGCGGGAAGCAACTGCAAGCGTAAGAACTTTGTAATGCGAGAACCAACATGGAACTCAGCCCTAGACAGAAGCTTCTGCCCTTTCCAACTTTCTGAAACCTTTGGAGCATAGTAGAATATCTACATTCAAGAATATTATTAAATTAGGATCAGATATCAAGGCCCATCATTAAATTTAAAGAACACAACAAGTCTTTCAAACATTGCTAAAGACAACGACAGTAGCAAGTAACAAAAGATATTTGTTCCTTTGATAGAGAACGCCATGAGAAATGTTATGCAACATCAATGATGCTGACCACGGATATCAGAATGACTATTGCATGTACGACTAGCTATTTACATACTATAACTACGTTGGCGGCCTCAAACTTCTTTAGGAAATTATCATTCTCAGAAATAATAAAATTTCGTGACTTAAATGCACTGCTCACGACATACTCAGTGGCAAAAGCAAATCTGCATCTTTTTCATGCATTAGTATTGTCTGCCGTTGCAGACTCATCCACCTTTTCATAATCAATGTGAGTCCCCATTCTCCAGGCCGATGGAAAAGAAAGCAAATAGTAATGTACAATGCTGGGGCAGAGATATACAGAATGGTGCTTGCTGGCTGTGTTTATCACATATGGCAGGAGAGGAACTTGAGGGTCTTTCAAGGGAAGCAGATCTGAAGAGCAGACTAGCTAGGAGATTAGAATCTGCAAATTTGTATCCTTAGATGATATAGCTGGTCGTTTGTGGTTTAGTAGCTGCTGGGGTTGGGGCAATATGTCCAACTTTCAGCTCTAGTTACTGGGTTTTTTGCTTTGTATTGTACAGTTTATCCTTGGTAAATAAAACCTCTTAAATAATGGAGTTTAGTGGGGCAGGAGGCCGGAAGGGGAGGGGAGCAGAACAGAAAACATAAAAAACAAGTGACTTTCAGGAAGGTCATCCAAAAGGCAGAAACTTTTGCATCAGATAAAAAAGTTATAGTGAACTACATCAGAAAGGCTCCAGTGTTGTTGTTTTTCATTTTGATAAAGTAAATAATTTTATTAATGATGGGAAAATTTCGTATACAAGACGTATACCAAAAAGTAGAGAACCTACACCAGAATATGATTCTCTACGAAAGAAAACCAATCATCCATACACAGAGGCACCTTAGGGGTGTCCAATGTTGTTAAAGGCTTGCCTAAGGCGCACTTAAGCCCTGAAGCTCTGTGAAACCCGGGTTGTGCACTTCGCCTCGCTTAATTGGCGCTTTAGTGTAAGCATCAAGGTGCTAAGGCATGTGCGACTTAACTGATAGGTTCAGACTTTACAGGCACCGCAACATACCTATAGTTTAGTTATATTTTCCCATTCCTTTGCACAAATAATTATTGTTTGTGTTTATAGTTACATTTCTTGCATTATATATCTATTTTTTATTTTGTTTTCTTCATTGGCACTTTTTTTGCTAAATCCCATACTTTAGTTGCACTTTGCGCTTAAAGCTCCCACAGAGCTTAGCGCTTACAAGCTATTAGACTGAATTTGTTGTGTGAACTTCAACTTTCAGAGAATAATGATGGCCTTCAAATAGAATGAGAAAGTTATAGCCTCGACAAAATAGACAAAATATAAAGATAAAATATACCTGAACATTCTTTTGATCATCTGAAACTACAAGACTGAGAGTGCTACCATCAATCAAGAACTCTGTTGCTAAACAGTCAAGGGAACCAAAATCTTTAGCTAATAAGTTAAGCTGAGGCTCTTTCCAACTGATGAAGTATATACTCTTGTGAATGTCTCCAAGAAGAATAAAGTTCTTCACCTATAACATTTACAATATTGAACGAAAAAGGCATGAGAAAAGTTCAGAATATTAATTGTGATAAGCTTAGAGAAAGTAAACGAAGAAACTCCAAATACTATCACGGTTCGATATTGTTTTGTTCAAGAATGAAAAGTATTATACAATTAGATCTTTCATTTTTGAAAACTGACAAGGATTTTGAGAATAAGAAATGAAAACAAGTTATGTGCTCCTCCCAACAGGCGATGCAATTCGTTTTCTAGTTTGAGCGACCAAAAATGATTATTACAACTGCAAGTACTATTGATAGGAGAACCTATAAACCAATAGCAGATTGCTTGCTCCCTTCATCACATTTTGTTCTGGTTATACTTTGATCCCTGTTGAAGCATATACTTGGCGGATGGGTGCAGGGCGGACGATTTTAGAACGGACGGAGCTGTCGCAAAATGATTTATCTCCCCAAATTTTGTAACTGTTACTGATACTGCACAAAATATAGGAACTGCGCCACTTGGATTCACCAAATTATGACAGCATCTATGCACTTTTTACCAAATTATGATTGGAACTCCTCAATCTAGGTGCGCCCCGAAGCTTCTATATGATTAATTCAGTTCTATATGATTAATTCTCAGAGGCACCATAATCTAAGTACCTTCCATAGATGAAAGGGAAAAGTACTGAATGAACACCCAAGTACTTAATCTTCACTGGAAGTATTTGATCTGATTATAAAATGGTTTTTTGGAAGTGAAGGAAAAGCCACTATGAATTGTACTTACAATATTTAGGCTCACAACATGGAGTGGAGGAACATCACAAAAAGCAACTCCATTCAACTCAGACCCCGTCCATTTGTGCAAGATAATTTTAGGACCAGAAGCTATCAACAAGTGACCTTGAAGTGAAGCTAAAGCAGATATAGCACCCTTTAATTCCTTTGAGTAGACTTCTGAGACCTGAAATGATTTCGAAGGACAGAGGTAAAGGTCTCATTTTGCCAACAAAAAAAGAAATATGAAAGTGAAAAGCCATGTGATGGAAGATACCAAAGTTCGAGAATTATCAGCATTTCGGTCTATAGAAAACAAAAGCACGCGCCCTCTTGCAGCAACATCCTCCCCTTGCACATAAGCAGTCCCAACTGCCAATAGTGTTTCATTCTCTCTTGTTGTTGTATTCTGTTGTACAAATTGAAAGATAGAGGAAACTATCAATTTGTGAAAGAAAGACTCCTCATATTCCTACTCAANATGTATTTTCAAACAGATCACTTAAAGGAGAAACTTTCAAAGGGCAACTGGAGCTTCAAAAACTCTAGTTTAGGGAAATGTAACATTCAACGGAGAAAATGCAAAGAGGAGTTGAATGTATATACCACTAGAAACAGAATCTTGTATTTCCCAAATTGGATTTTAAAATTGTAGATTCTCTTAAACCAATTCTCCCCAGATTTTTTATTCTCGATAGACCAGGCTCAATGATAAGAATCCAACCAGAAGGTTGTAACTTGACCTTCAAGAATTGAATGGTAAAAGTGTGGTCCATAAGATTGACCTTCACCAACTGCGGAGGAGGTTAAGAATCCAACCAGAAGGTCGTAACTGAGGAGGAGGAGAGATTGCACTTGTTATTAAATTGTTCCCTTCTTTTACTATAGTAGTAGTTCTTTTCTATAAGGAAACAAAAAAAATGAGGAATAAAATTGAACTCACAAGTAAAGTAACCACCCTCACAGTCAGAGCATTTTCAGAACTTTGCATAGGAATACTTGCCCTTGTTTGCCAGGGCCCACCAGATTTGTCTGGTTCCATAATCCGCACCTCAAATTCTTCTATAGGGTAGTTCCCTTCAAAATTTATATTATCAGGATCAAACTGGTGGCCAACTTCTTGATCAACTATAGTTGATAGGACTTGATTCAATGGCTTAAGAACCTGTCAGAAATAAGTAAAACTGTATGAGAACTCCATTAAGCCAGTAAATATTAATGCTAGCCTCTTTTCCACCAATGATTCACATTTTCCTTTTATTTTATTTTTGTTCCTTTGTATGTGTTTGACTGCTGGGGGGTTTTATTATCTGGAGGTCACACAGAAAGCTGACCATAACTGCAGTCGACTAATATGTTGTGCATTCATGCGTGGGAAGGTTATGTAATATTCATGTTGGTGTAAGGTTTATGCCTCATCTCTGAAATTAGCAGCCTTACAACATATATTAAGACATTATTAACAAACCAAGAACAGATAACAGAAGCAGGAACATATACTCACTGGAACTGAAACTATAATTGGGTAAAGATTCTTCTCAGCAAAATAAGTAACTTGATGTGGTGTTCCCTTCAGTGGTATCTGCATCTCAGTCCCAAAATAAAAGATAAGAAAGACGGGAAATTTTAAAATTCGGATATCCAATGAGAGAAATAAATATCAACTTTCTGCAGTAATGATATTGTCTAATTAATTTGAAAATGTTCGCAACAGTTTATATGCATAACTATAGTTATTTGTGCAGACTAGTAGTTCAACAACTACTAGATGTAATTGTCTCATAGCTATGAAATTATACTAATAAGTCTCACTAATCAATCAATTAGTTTACCACTAGACAAATTCCCTTCAGTTAGTAATCAATTTCATCAATCAATTAGTTATCCATTACACAATCATATTATCTTTGTTGAAGCTCTCATGGGAAATGCCAAAAATTTACACCCCTATCGACAAAAAGGATATCCATACAAGCACAGTTATTGTGACGTCTTAATTCATCAAAAGCAAAACAATCCTAATATATCTAAGGATCAATTTAAAAAGATATAATAAAAAACAAAAGATTTTGAATTCCTTAAAAGTATGTCTTTTGCAACAATAACAACATACCCAGTATTATCCCACACCGTGGGGTCTGGGGAGGGTAGTGTGTACGCAGACCTTACCTTGTGAGGAAAAGTATGTCCTTTGCAGTTATATAAAATAGAAAAACACAGAAGTAACATTAGAAACAAGCATGACATTTGAAAACAATATTTGTAACATGCATAGTGTAAAATTGAGCAAACATATAACAAGTAAAGAAAATCAGTTAGCTGGTGGCAAAAATGAATTCCCACCTTCTGCACTGGCCAATAGTTGTCATATGACAGGAATGATGGAAGCTGGCAAATTTTTAAAGTGCCCTGCAATGACAACAAGCAATCCATGGATACATGAGCAGAGACAGATGAAAGTCGGAACAAGCACAATTTCATTACCATACCTGGGCTGTTACGTAGATAAGTCCGTGATTACAGTTGACATTATGAAGAACAGTGACCGCAACGATAGGTCCGTCACACAGCTGCAGCAACAAAGCAACACTTATCAAGAAGAGCAAACATAAAGCATAAACAACCCAGGGTGAAAAGTCTGCAGCTTAGATAACAAAGTATATAGGTGGAATAAATGGTATTGTGGTGCCAGGAAAGTTGTGCTTCAAGGCAAGGCCATGATTTCCTGATTCATTCTTCACGCCAGACGCCACAACACGCAGCCTAAACGAGCATCACTTTAATCTAAATTCACTGATCCCTTGACTCTTTACCCAGAAAAAAACAACTAGAATATGTCAAATACATATGGGAGCAAGTAAACAATAACCTGTGGATGTACTCTAAGTCGTTCACGAAATACCATGAACCAAGATGGCCTGGACCCGGTGAGAAATAATCCTTGAGAACCACCAATATTCTTAAAGACACTCATTCGCTGTGATGGGGTTCCAGATGGCATCTCTTCCTTTGCATAATTCTCTACTGGNTTCCAGATGACATCTCTTCCTTTGCATAATTCTCTACTGAAACCCGAACAAATCTTAAATTTCTGAGCCTAGATGCATTTGTACTGCTAAGACCAATGGAATTCTGTGACGAAACAGATCCATCAACTTTAGAAGAATTCTCTGATCCTTCAAAAACATATGCATGATAACACAGAATCGTCCCATCAGCTAATATCCCAAAAAGAAAAGGGCGGGAATATAGCCCTATCCACCTATGCATCATCAACTCCGCCACGTTTATCTTCATGTCCTTAGCATTCTCGTTCTGTCCAGGGCCCATAACATCCTCAGTATTTTTCTTCAGACCATTCACTGGATCTTGGATAAAGGTGTCGACAAGGTGGGTCCTTCCAGATACGAATTTATCAACGGAGAAAACACAACTAAAATTGGGAACATCAAATATTTCAAGAGTACCATTTTCATAGCAAACAACACAATACACATCACCCTGATCATGGGTTACCCCATCTGCACCATCAATTGCCTCTCCCATGCCAGAAGAAAGCCAAGCATCAGTACTAGTCTTCCTGAGCCAAGGTTCGGGGCCTTTATCATGATATAGAGTACAAGCAGATACTGACTTTTTTGAGCTTTCAAATATTGATGGAACAGTAACAGAAACAGAGCACGATGATGGATCTGAAGAGGAACAATAATGTCAGTGTGGAAGAGAAACACAGGATAAATGCAAAAGTCGAGCGTAAACAGAGACATGTTTCAAGACAAAAAGGGAAAGACTTAAACTGCGAATTATGGAGTTATATTAACTCGCCCAGGCCTTTCAGAAATAACTGCATCTACTTAGACTACAGCTTGTACTATTCACTAATTCAATATGATTCAGGCCAGTAGTAAGTCCCTTGGGAAATGTGCTACATGTATTAGCTTGTTTCAAGTTCATCTTAGGGTCAGTTAAGTCATATTTCATTTCTATCACGATTAATACGGACTAGATCAATATGCTTTCAGTATCAATTTAAGTATTGATAACAAAGGTACTAAGGGGCGTTCTGATAGTTTTTCTTGCCAGTAGTTAAAGTACAATGTAAAGAGCATGTAAAAAACAAATAAACAAATACTCTACAAAGTTATATTCTCAACTAATAGCATAGAACAAATAAGCAACACTATATAAAATCTGTAATCTGTTAAGCTAGAACAAGATTTTATCAAATTAAGCAACGAAGAAAGAGTTTGCTTGTTGGTTAGCACTGCAAGAAGAGGGGTAGAAATTTACAAAAGCAAATAAGTTTCATCTTAGTAGATATACCTCCCGCAAGAAGCTGAATACTTCCATTTGTCATTCTTAGTAAAACATAAGGGTCAGCTATCGAAACAGAAGATACGATAGAACTATCAGAACTCGAGCCAGATTCCACATTTGAAGCCTTAAAGCTCAGTTCTTGAGTCATAAATGCACCATCAAGAATTCGAGCGCCATGAGCAAACACTTGGATTACTCGACGTCTACATAAACAGAAGTTACAATGTTAAGCTACTTTGAAAAAATTAAAAAACACGTGCAACTGCTCAACATCACCAGCAACTGAAGGATATCAAAAAAATGAATCAGATCTAATTGGTCAATTTTGAAAAGCACTCAGCCAATGGCATAGACGAAACCAAATTCCACATAAAGGAACTAAATTCCTACATTGTCATTCATAACAGCCATAAATAAAAGAATAGATTATAACTTGTTCTCATTTTTTATAAGGTATGACGTATTCTAATTTAAGAAAGCAG